CAGTGTGAGCTGGAGGCCCTCACCCGATGAAGCCAACATCGGGTGAGGGTGCTAGATTGTAAAAACAGGAATTTTTATCTTATTCAATTGTTTATCTATTACTTTACTACTTTGGTGTAGTATAAATGGTAATGGGGGGGGGCTTTATTCATAGGAAAAGCTGTAAAAGTTCAAAATCTATACACTCGTTCACATTTTCCAACACCTTCCAGTGGGTCGAATTGGAGTCTGACATGGCTGATTCTGGACCCAGGGCCTTTCATTTGACACTCCTGGTTAAATGAATAACAATATTGTTACAGTGCAGTTTTCTGCTTAGAAATGCACAACATAGACATTTTGTGACACTCTGTGTTAAGAAGCAGTGCTTTTTTTATTAATTTATATTTTTTAATTTGTGGGTGCAGAAAGAAGTGTGCTGTGTGTTGTTCAAATCAAAAAGTGGAAAGCTCTCTTTACACCTACTCGGGACATTTAATTTTCTGCACACCTTTTTAACGAGTAATGCTACAAAATCAGGCTGTGTTAATCGATGCAGTGGCGTGCATGACACCTGCTTGATAATGCTCTTAATCACAGTAAAGGTGTCTCCATTTGTGCATTGTTTACAACAGTGACTAATACTTGCAATCACTATGATATAAAGCAGGAGACTAATAAGTTCGCTGCTTCCTGTAAGGCTTTTCATAGCAACAGTTAAGGCACTAACATGACCAGTCAGAAGAATTTAATTTCAGCTTTAGGGGGAAAAAATGCTCTGTGTGCTCCTGCAGCTGAGGGTGAGCCGGACAAAAGCCAGGTCAGCTTATGGTGTTTGACACAGTAGTACAGCTGATGTCAGAAGACCCTCATAATTGCCAGGGAGTTCTTTTCCTCCTCCCAGTCCAGACTTGAAACTGGTCCAGAATGTCAGGATTTGACATTTTTATCCTTCTGACCTTGTAGTTTTCCAGCTCAATTTAATTTCCTCCTGTGGGGGGGAAAAATGTCCGCACTAATCGTTTCCTATCATTTTCTATGACACAGAACAGCTGAACCGCTCTCCCTCACTTCAAAGGTTGTTGAGTCTAAGTGGAGGCAGAAAAACATCCCACACAATGTGTTGAATTGCTTTCAGTTAAATCATCCTTTCTCTAAAGGACATGAGAATTCATGCTAAATTTTGGCTTTAATTAGAGCTTAAGTGATTAGTCAGTGAGTCTGTTGGCAGGCAGTTATTTAGCCTATTTTGATAGTCAGTTAATCAAATTTAGTCTTTTATCTTTGTGAAATTATTATTGTTGGCTTTTGGACAGTCAGTTGGATGACACAGGATGCCTGAAGGGAACAAAGACTCTGGAAAA